AATTCCAAACTTCACTAAAAGGCTGCTTGCACTTTAAGTGAGTCGATTGATATGCCGTTCAGTGCTTCTAGATTTTCAATGATGGTCTAACATTAATCGGTTCGTTATTGCAATTAGAATAGTCGTTATATATGATCATAAAACAAGTTACAACAACAAACGTTTATAAATTCAAAAAAATAAAAATAAGTGATAAAGCCAACAGAATAATCAAGGTAAATAATACACTTATTTTAAAGTTGTTTCTTAGTCACTGTAGATTGAGGTATACAGCTTCTCACTTCAGACAAATTTACGGTATATTGCGACATATTTTTTTCAAAAATCAATATCTGCTGCGTTTTATTCCACGAAATTGTAATAACTGATAGGCGAACAAAAGAAATTCCATTAGCCTATTAAATAAATAATAAAAACCACATTTTAAAATATGGTTGATATCAACCTTTGAGTAATTTTCATTTTCATAGTTGAGAGCGTGAAACTAGACCACCAAGGAAAACCGGGACGCACTGGACGGCCGTTTCGTCCTATTGTGAGACTCCTCATCATTGCGCATCCACTTGGTGGTCTAGCTTCAATTGACTCACGCTTTCAACTATGAAAATACTGATTCTCCATAAAACCCCTTCTAATTTTCATTTATTTATTTAAAAGTTAAAGAGTGTAATAACTAACGAAATTAAATCATATTTAAGAGCTGGACAATCAGATCACTAGAATCGTTAATAATTTCATTAAAGCCGTACAAATGAGATAGCAAGATCATTAGTATTTGAAATTTATTCGACCTATTCCTTCTTAGTTGTATTGTTATTCAAAATTACATAATTTGAACATTCCATATTGGTAAATTGTTTCACCTCCTACGATAACGATATACGGAAAATCACTAAAAATCTGAAGATTATTTAAACGTCTGATGTAATCTTACTATTGTTGTGGACAGAACACGACTGGTTGGGGACGATTGAATGTAATTAGACACAAATTACAGATTATCTCACTAATTTCTGTTAACTATACAGAAAACAGTCAATTTGCAAAATAACAACCAATCGTCTCAATTCTCATTGTTCCTTCTGTAAATATCAGTTCATCTTCTCTAATTCCATTGTTCATGCATTTTCCTACCAATTGCGCTCCATTTCAGTCCTTTCCTTATCGGTCTTCTACCGAAATACATTCTATGTCTGACCATCGCCATATACTACTTATATGAATATAAGTAGACCACATTACACTATCAGTGTACTATCAATTCCAAAATACAGCATTTAAAATATATTAGGGATACTTAAATCTTTTTTTATTGTAAAGATGTATCTATTTATTCTGAATTTGTTTTACTCATTTAAAAATAAAATTGGCAATCATTCACTTTTTGATCTACCAACGTAAAATGTTATTTTAATTGAGTTGAATATAACAAATAAAAAAAACAACCATATCCAGGTAACAGAAGTTGAGTTTTCATTGTTAACTAAACATCATTTTAACATTTATACTAAAAACTTTAGAAGTTGGCATATTCACTAAAGTGTTATGAATCATTTTAATAAATGTTGACTCTAAACCGAATAGCAAATGACCCCTATGCTATATGGATTTATTGAAGAAGGGACATCATTGAAGTTGTTATATACTAGGGGAGAAGTAAGTACGGATAACTTACGGGACCTATTATTGGACTATTATTCTATGTGTATTCCTATTGTATAGCTATTCAGTAACCAGATTATCTATATCTATATTCATCTTATTGTAAGCTTCATTTTGACCTATTGATTATTATTATATGATTTACTGTTGCTATGTTATGCTCAGTTTATTGATTATTGTCTCCCACGCTTACAGCCTCATTTGGCTTGGTTTTGTACAAATATTATTTTCTATTTTATGGTATGATGTGGCCTGCCTGTCTGATATATAAAAAAGTATGCTTGAAATAAACGATTCATATTGCCGAGGCTGCTATTGGTGTTCTGGACTCAAGTGGACGGGCTAGGCGGATTAACGACCAATAAGGACGCTAGATTGCTCATACTAATCGAACGTCACTGAAGGTCGTAGAAGTCGTACTTCTATTGGCGGATAATTCACTCGAGTTACGCCCTTGTTTAATTCGTAAGGTCATAACAAATTAGCGACGACCTTGATCGAGACATAACAATTGGCGACGGCTATGTCAAGTCATAACAGAAGTTAATGAAATTATTTTTTGTGTTTGCTTCCATTAACATCTATGGCATGACTTATTTCAGTTCATTATCTTTCCTTTCCATTTGTTATTCATCCTTTTCATATCTGCTTCTATTTCCCGGAGTAATGTTTTCTTTGGCCTTCCTCTTTTCCGCTTCCCTTCCGGATTCCAAGTTAGGGCTTGCCTCGTGATGCAGTTCGGTAATTTCTTTAATGTGTGTCCTATCCACTTCCAACATCTTTTCCTAATTTCCTCTTCAGCGGGAAATTGATTTGTCCTCTACCATAAAACGCTGTTGCTGATAGTATCCGGCCAGTGAATGTTGAGTGTTTTGCGTAGACAACTGTTTATAAATACTTGTACCATCTTGACGACGGATGTAGTGGATCTCCACGTTTCAGCTCCATACAGTAGGACTGTCTTTACGTTCGTATTGAAGATTCTGACCTTGAAATTAGCTGGCAGTTATTTTGAGTTGCATATGTTCTTCAATTGTAGAAATGCGGTCCTTGATTTTCCAATCTTATCCTTCACATCTCCATCCAATCCTCTTTTTTCATCAATGCTGCTTCCCAGGTACGTGAAAAATTCCACTTCTTCCATAGTTTCACCATCAAGTGTGATTGGGTTGGTGTTCTCCGTGTTGTATTTGAGAATCTCGCTTTTACATTTGTGTATGTTGAAGCCTATTGATGCATAGGTTGCTGTTACACTTGCTGTCTTCGTCTCTACTTATTCGTGTGTACGGGACAGGATGGCTAGGTCATCTGCGAAGTTCAAATCGTCTAATTGATTCTGAGCTGTCCATTGTATTCCGTATTTCCCGTCAGATGTCAAAGTCTTCATAATCCAGTCAATCACCAGAAAAAAGAGGAAGGGTGAGAGTAAACAGCCTTGTCTGACTCCGGTTCATAATTGCAATGCATGTCTTAACTGTTCTCCATGCACCACTATGCACTGTAGTCCATCGTATAAGTTCTGGATAATGTTGACAATCTTCTCAGGAACTCCATAGTGTTGAGGAAGTTTCCATAATGTTCTCCCGTCCACACTGTCAAACGCCTTCTCATAGTCAATAAGGTTGATGTATATCGACGCATTCCACTGAATTGATTGTTACACGTTGATCCGTAGCGTCTACTGCGTCTTTTATCCGGTTGAGCAACACTGTATTGAAAACTTTTCCTGGTACTGACAACAGTGTGATGCCTCTGTAATTCTCACATTTATTCAGATCTCCTTTCTTTGATATCTTGATGAGGTATCCTTCTTTCCAGTACGTTGATATTTGTTCCTCCTCCCAAATCTTCTTGAATAGAAAGTGAAGCATGTTTGTTGTTACTTCAATGCTTCAACTGGTATATTATCAGGTCCTACCGCTTTTCCGCTGTTGATTTGTCTGAAGGCCGTCTTGACCTGATGGTCATAGTGATTTCTTTGATCGTTGGTGGAGTGACAGATATAGGAAGGTCTGTATGTGCCACTTTGATGTCTGGTGGATTCAATGGATCTGGTCTATTCAGCGATTCCTCGAAGTATTCTATCCAACTTTTCCTCTGTTCTTGAATCTCTGTGGTTGTCTTTCCTTCTTTGTCCTTGACTAGTCTCTCTGGTTTACTATATCTCCCTGCTAGTTTCTTCGTTGTATCATATAGCTGTTTCATACTCCCTTCTGTTGCAACTTTTTCCGCCGTCGTTGCTAGTTCTTCCATGTATTTCTGCTTGTCATATTGAATGCCCTTCTTCACTTGCCTGTTTGCTTTTATGTACTGTGCTTGTGCCTTGACTTTCTCTGCTTGTGTTCGGCTGTTGTTAATTTCTGTCCTCTTGTTCTTCCTTTCTTCAATCTTGTCCAGGGTTCCCATAGAGATCCATTCCTTGTGATGATGTTTCTTGCCACTCAGAACCTCCTGAAACGTTGAAGTTGGTGCTTCTTTTATCCCTTTCCAGTTGTCCCCCAAAGTAGTTTCTTGTTCATTCAGTAGATCCTGTAGAGCTTGGAACCTGTTGTTGAGAGTTATCTTGAATTCATTGAGCTTGTCAATATCTCGAAGGAAGGCTGTATTGAACCTTTGTAGTGCTGTTTGTCCAGTGTTTCTTTAGCTTCAGTCTCATCTTGGCCACAACCAGGTGGTGGTCTGAAGCTATGTCAGCTCCTCTCCCGGTTCTCACATCTTCCATTGATCTTCGGAATTTTCGGTTGATACAAATGTGATCTATCTGGTTCTCTGTGGTGTGATCCGGTGAGATCCATGTAGCTTTGTGTATGCGCTTGTGTGGGAATATTGTGCCGCCTATAACCAGTTTGTTGAATGCACATAGATTTGCGAATCTCTCCCCATTTTCATTTCTCTTTCACAATCCATGTCGGTCAAATATATCTTTATATCTTGTGTTGTCCACTCCAACTTTAGCATTTATATCTCCCATCAGCATGTTCAGGTCCTTTATTGAGCACTTCGCTATGATTGATCGCAGCCTCGAGTGGAACTGATCTTTATCGTTGTCGTTGCTATCATTGGTGGGTGCATAACATTGGATAACATTCATTTTGATACCCTCCTTCTTTGTTTTGAATGATGCTTTGATAATTCTGGATCCACGAGATTCCCATCCTATAAGTGCATTTCGTGCTTCTCTGGACAGCATTAGAGCAACTCCCTGAGTGTGTGGAGCATTTTCCTCTTTGTGACCGGAGTGTAGGAAGCAATTTCCTACAGGGGTAACTTTAAGCTATTCTCTAAACTGTCGAATACAGAGTCTTGGTTTCGCCAAAGTCAAAACAAGTAAGCTATTTGGCTTAATAAACTTTATCTGTTTCTAAAACTTAAATCAACAACGTTAGTACGCAAATAAAAATACAGTCTATTACATATGGAAAAGGAGAGACATAAATGACATACCGAACAGTAACTGGAGAATAAGAAAAATGAGTCAACAAAACGAATATTGTTTTAGAATGAACATAAATTGTGATTGGTGGATAAAACAAAGACATAGTAATACAAGATCAAAGAAGTTAGTGTGGTGGTGCGCGTTTCACTCATCATTGGTATGTTCGCTTATCGATCTCACTTTACACTCCCCCCGAAACGCGCACCACGTCGATCGCCCTGTGTCGTCGCCGTTGCTGTCAGATAACCGGCTTCTTCCAATAGGCATAGGCTCCGAACATCCCGAACGATTTCTTCGTTTGCCGTTCTCAACCTTGCTGTACGAACTCGTCCATCAGGGCCGTAGCTTACTTGTTCGACAATGGCTTTAGGCCATAGACTTCTGCTAGTTTCAACGTTACCCACGAGAACTAGGTCGCCGGGTTGTAGATTTCTACGTACGTTTAACCATTTATCTCTTGTTTGAAGAGTCAGTAGATATTCTCTTATCCACCTATACCAAAATGCGGTAGTTAATCTTTGAGCTTCTTTCCATCTTTTATTGTATAATAGAGTTTTATCCACAGAAACATCGTCAAATGACAATCCTTTATAAATGAACAACAATTTATTCGGTGTAAGAGCCTCTAGAGTACCAGGATCATCCGTCACTTTAACTAGTGGTCTGTTATTTAGTATTTTTTCTGCCTCAGTTAAGAATGTTTGTAAAGCCTCATCTGTCAACACGTTTTGAAATAAAAGCACTGTTAGAATTCTTCTAATAGATCTTATGATACGTTCCCATACACCGCCTCGGTGACTTGCTCTAGGTGGGTTGAAACGCCATTCACATTCTCGTTCTCTGAGGTGATTCTCTATTTTGTTTTGGTCCCAAGAGCGTATAATCTGCCTCAAACTAGCATCTGCACCTCGGAAATTTGAACCGTTATCACTAAAAATACGCTTCGGGCATCCTCTTCTAGCAATAAACCTTGATAATGCGCATAAGAATGAATCCGTATCTAAAGAGTAAGCCATTTCAATGTGAGCGGCTCTCATAGATAAGCAAGTGAATAAACAACCGTAGCGTTTCTCAACGGCTCTCCCCCGTTTGGTATAGAATGGCCCGAAGTAATCCACACCTACTTGGCTGAAGGGAGGCGAATGAGTCTCTAGCCTGCACTCTGGCAACGGCGCCATTATTTGGGAGCATGGCATAGAGTAAAGTCTTTTACATAAATAGCATTGTTTTAGGACCTTCCGGACGGCAGAGTATCCTCTAACGATCCAATACTCTTCACGAATACCACTTAAAGTTTGAGTAACTCCGACGTGCATGTTAATCAAATGATGATGCATTATAATCATATCTGTGATAAAGTGATTATTAGGAAGAATAATCGGATGTTTGGTTTCAAAGGGTAAACACGATAATTGCAGACGTCCTCCCACGCGGATCTTACCTTCCAACATAAAAGGGTTGAGATTCCTTATCGAACTTTGACGAATTAGATTTTTTCTTTTGACCGTCTCGTTTATTCTTTTTTGCTGCTTAGAAGTGTTGTCTTCGAGCGTTAATGGTAAACTGTCTAGAATTCTTTTTTCGACCGGGAATGCAGCACTTTGGACTAGTTTAATTATGTCGCTCTTCGATTTACCAATATCTTCAACACTTAGTGTGCCCGAGATTACACATTTCCCATTCTTCTTGTTTAATATATTGTTGATTAACCGTCTGCAGTATGAAAACACCCTTAATAATCTGGACCATGACTTACACGTGCGAAATCGGATTAGAAACTCGTCGTTATATTTTTGAGATCCGAGATCTTCTGTTATTACATGGGCCAAAGTGTTCTCGCCTCTTTCTAGGTTAGGCCATTTATCTTCTTCCTCCCACAGGAATCCCGGCCCTTGTAACCACTCCCTTATCTTAGCTTTATCATTTAGTGATAGTCCACGTGACGAGTGATCAACGGGATTTAATTTACCTTTCACGTATCTCCATTGGTTCGGCGTGGTCAACTCATGTATGGTTGCTAATCTGTTACTCACAAACCTTTCGAATCGTTTAGTCGTATTTTGTATGCAATGAAGCACAATTAACGAATACGTCCAATAGATGACCGATGAAATAGGAATATTTAACTGTTCCCTTGCATGCCTTCCAATCTTAGCACACAGAACACAGGCTGTTAACTCCATTCTAGGCATAGTAACAAGTTTTAGGGGAGCAACTCTAGACTTAGCTAACAGAAATGAGCAATGAATCTGGCCAGAGACACTTTCATAACGAATATACGCAACAACACCATACGCAAGCTCAGAAGCATCGGCAAAACAATAAATTAGAGCAGATGATGGTTCAAACCTTGGTTTCAGACATCTTGGTATTTTTAAATAGTCCGATTCTTTTATGTGTTTACACCAAATATTCCACTTCACTTGATAATCCATGGGTAACTCTGCGTCCCAATCTAATTTCTGCCGACAGGTATCTTGTAGGATCACTTTGGCTGGCAGTGTTATTGGGGCTATAAACCCAACTGGATCAAAGATAGATGCTACATACGACAAAATGTTTCTTCTGGTTAGGTTTCCATGGAACTCGTGAACTTTAAAACATAATTCGTCGGTCCTGACGTTCCACTCCATTCCCAGCGTTCGCTTACTCGTCTCATTAGACTCACAAACGGTAATGTTTCCTTCAATACGATCTTCCTCTGGAATAAACTCCAACACTTCAATATTATTACTAGTCCATTTAGTTAAGTTAAATCCTCCCAAACTCAGAAGTTCTTTGAAGTGTGAATATATTAGTTTGGCTTCCTCTGTAGTTTCTACACTTATCAATAAATCGTCCACATAGAACTGTTCCTTAGCTAATTGCGTAACAACTCTGGGAAATTTATCTAAATTATCAGAAATTGTTTTCTGCAAGGCAAACGTGGCACAACATGGCGATGAGGTTGCTCCGAACAGATGGACTTTCATTCTATAGACCTCTGGCTCCTTTCTTAAGTCCCCACCTGGCCACCACAAATACCTAAGAGCATCTCGATCGTGTTCCGGAACTACTACTTGATGGAACATGGCTTCAATGTCCGCCGTAAGACCTATCGGTCGTTGCCGAAACCTGGTAAATACGTCTACTAGGTTATTGACTAAATCAGGTCCAGAATAAAGATTCTTGTTTAAAGACGTTCCAGCATACTGGGCTGCACAATCAAAAACTATTCTTAACTTGTTAGGCTTTTTGGGATGAAAGACATGGTGATGAGGAAGTATGATAATTAGAAGTATTTGAATTGTAGTATGAACTAGTAATCCCAGGAATAACCCAATTTAATCAAGAAGTATCAGATGAGCCCGAACGAATGTATTGCATTTGGAATTCAAAATTACAACAGTCATCAATACGAAGAAGTCATTGATTTATTTAAACATCACATCCGCCACAGCTCGAATTGGAGTGTAAGTGTCTGTAATCGATTGTTCGTCCTCTTCTTAAGTTCATCTTACATCTGTCCGACGGTGTATTGGATGTAGACTCTGTATTATCTAGAATGCACTCATTAGTATTAGAATTAACAACCGAAATTGGAACAGACTCACCTGGATTCTGGTATTGTATTTGATCAACGTGTCGGTTATGTATGGTCAAGTCATTGATATCCAGAATTCGCACCATAGATTTTCCAACATTCTTCACCACGATCCCCGTGGCTGGTCGAAGATCATTACCACGATAATACGTAACTTCTGCAGACTCCAAACACCTCATATTCGAACGGAGAATTCTTCCTTTTAATAGCTTTGATGGAGTCTCTTTCGTCACAGAATGCTTAGCATTTCTATATTGAAGTAGAAATGTATCTACTCCCCTCTCCAGTTCATTGAATGTCGAAGCAGCAATAGAATCAATAGCAATTTTCAATGTTCTTACGAAATTTTCTGCCTGACCATTGGAACAAGGGTGCCTGGGAGCCGTAAACAGATGTCTGCACCCTATACCATTTAACCAATTAGTGACTGCATCTGCAGCAAAATGAGAGCCATTATCAGTCACCAACACCATGGGAACTCCTTCTCGACTAAACACCTTCCTTAATGCTTGAATTGTGAAGTCAGAATTCGGTGAAGTTGTGAAAAAAACTTCAGGCCACTTAGAAAAAGAATCAATAATTACAAGTGCATAGTATTTGCCAAGAAATGGACCACAGTAGTCTGCATGAATTCTCTGCCAGGCCTCAGACGATACTGGCCATGGAGTCCACTTCGAAGGCAGACTTTTTAGCTTATGACATTTCTCACAATTGTTTGCTGTACGACATATATCTGCATTTATCTCTGGCCACCAACATGTGAGTCTTGCTAAGGATTTCATTTTCTCAACACCAAGATGTCCACTATGAAGATCATCAAGGACAGGTTTGCGTAATGAAGGAGGAATAACAACACGATCATTTAAACACAAAATACCGTCAGGAGTAGTAGATAACTCGTCCCGCTTTGAATAATAGACAGGAAATCTACGTTTCAGATTAGCATTCCAACCCTTCCGTATAGCACTGAGTATACATCCAAAGTATCTACGAGTTTCTCTAATGAGATCTGGACGTCTCACCGGTAAAGGTTGCACTAACAAGCAGTCTGAAGTATTAACAGGTCTATCTTGTAATGGTTGTCGAGAAATGTAGTCAACGTGTTGAATTTGTTTTGCACTCCTGTGCTGAATCGTATAGTCATAAGCACTCAAAGCAATACTCCATCGTTGAACCATAGCAGCTGAGGAACGTGCTAAGGATTTGTCAGGATGATAAATGAACTTTAAGGCTTCATGATCAGTAACAATGGTAAACTTCTTTCCAAATAAATATTTATGAAGTCTTTTAACAGCCCAAAACACAGCTAACGCTTCTCGCTGCGTTTGTGAATAACCTTGTTCAGCAACAGAAAGTTTGCGTGAAACACATATAACTGGCCTACCTTCCTGTTCCAAAACTGCACCAATACCTACAGGTGACGCATCAGTAATAAGAACAGAATGTACACTGGGTGAGTAAGTTCGAAGGACAGCATCACTTTGAAGAAACTTTAGCAGACTTCGTAGGCATGACTCTTGTTCTTCACCCCATTTGAATGAATTGGATGTCAAAATATTAAATAAACAATTGGCACGACAAGAAAAATTAGGAATAAAACGAGAATAGTACTGAAGAGCACCCACTAGTGAACGTAATTCTGTGATGTTTTTTGGAGACGGTGCATTTGTCAGTGGAGCTAGTCGTTTCGTATCTGGTCTAAAACCATTACCATCAACTAGGTATCCAAGGCATTCAAAACTAGATACACTAAATGAACACTTATTTGGATTCACTGTAATATTCTTCTCAATTAAACGACGCAATAAAGCAATAAGTCTCTGGTCATGGACTACTTTATCAGCACCATGAACAATGAGATCATCTTGATAAACTTCAACACCTTCAATATCGCTGACTATCTTATTCATGACCTCTTGAAATATGGCTGGAGAACAACTAAGACCAAATGGAAGGAAGTTGTATTTGAACAGACCAAAAGGAGTGTTAATTGTTGTCAAGATAGATGAAGATTGGTCTAAAGGGATTTGAAGATAAGCATCTTTCAAGTCAACTTTCGAGAACACTTTAGAACCATGAAGCCGATTTAGAATATCTTCAGCCTCCATCGTCGTGCATGTTTGCTTCAACAAACGGGAGTTCAGTGTCAATCTGTAATCACCGCATATTCTAGGGGTCTTGCCATCCGATTTCAATGGCGTAACAATAGGAGTACCCCATGCTGAGGACTGAACTGGTTCAATTATACCTTTCGCACACAAATCATTCAGTGACTTATGTACTGCTTCTCGAAGACCATAAGGAATTATTCGTCTTTTAAGAAAGACCGGATCACCCTGTACTTGAAGTTTAATGGGCTGAATTTTCATACCTCCACTACACTTAGCACACACAGCTATCAAATCCTTGAGTAAAGCATCAGAATTCTCTGTAGAAACTAGTAGAGACAATTCCACTTTAAGCCTTTTCAGATTTTTTAAACCCAGTATGGACAGTCCTGTTTCACTAACTAAAAATTCACAAGGTACGTATGAAGAATTATCATCTCTTATTAGCAATTTACAACATCCTCGTATAGGTAGTCTGTGTCCAGTAATCCCCAGTATTGAGACCTCAGTGGGTTTTACCACAACATTAGGATCTAAAGATTTCAAGTTCTTGAATGAAATAATGGACTCTATACTACCTGTGTCCACAATAAAGTCATGAAATGAACCAAGGGATGTATATAATCGCTTTTGAATATGAACATTCCCTTTTGAAGTAGTGGATAAAGATAAATGATCATCAAGAACAGCCGAATTATTGGGATCTAAGTTACCAGACTTAGTAATACTTGAAGCAAAGTGAACAGTAGTTTTGCACACTGACTGAATGTGTCCTATCTTGCCACATTTAAAACATTTAGCATTACGAAATGTACATGAATTACGAAAATGAAATTTGCCACAAGATAAGCATTTACCAAACTTATTCTCACCTTTGTTGTTTGCTTTGCAGTTCCTTGTTAAACCACCTTTCATATTTCCACGGGAATAGCAATCACGATTAAACGAACGCAAATTTGATCGACCCTGAGATTGTAATTCATCATGACGACTAAGCAAAGTATTAGAAATTTTCATCGATTGAATATCAAGTTCATTCACTGCTTCGTAGTTAATACATGCAGTTCTAGCATCTTGAAAAGAACAGTTCGGCATTCTTAACAGCTCCTTTTCCAGACCTGGTATGTTAATTCCAGCAATTAACCGATCTCTCAACTGTACATGAAGCTGATCACCAAAATTGCATTTGGCAGCTTGTCTTTGCAATTCAAGGATGAAGTCTTTAACCTTCTGGTTATCCTGACGAATCATCTTATGAAATTTTGCTCTCTCACGACACTCAAAACTGGTGCACTTCACATGGTTTAATAGTAATTCCTTGAGAGTTGTATATGGGAGTGAAATCGGCTTATCTGGATATGCCAAGGTTTTTAATAAACTGTAGGCTTCTTGACCGATGAATGTAAGAAAATGTGCCACAATTTTGTCACCCTTCATATCTTTCTTGGTCATGCTCCATATCTCAAACCTTTCAAGGTAATCCTCACAAGCTTCAGAAGTTGAATGAATGTCCAACTGTTGTATCGCAGGCTCCATCGCGACGCCAATATGATAATTAGAAGTATTTGAATTGTAGTATGAACTAGTAATCCCAGGAATAACCCAATTTAATCAAGAAGTATCAGATGAGCCCGAACGAATGTATTGCATTTGGAATTCAAAATTACAACAGTCATCAATACGAAGAAGTCATTGATTTATTTAAACATCACAGGAAGATACCAAATTCGTCCATCAACGTGGTTATCGTTTACCTTTTCGGCATAATCTCGTTCTATATACTGAGTCATAGCGCTCGTATAGTCTTGGAGCAACTTCGTATCCCGAATAAGTCGACCTTTTAAATAGCTAAGTCTACGTTCTGCTAATTTCTTATTATTAGGCAACTCGCGTTTGTGCCTCCAAGGTAGAGCTATTTGATAGTGCCCATTTAACCTTTGCACTGAATTTGATATAGCACTGAGTGCTATACGATCTTCTACAGACATCGACATAGTACAACTAAATGGATCCTTGAATTCCGTTGAATACAATTGTTCAAATTTATCCTCTAATTCCTCTTTATCTGAGAGGTAATTAAGTACATGTTTGCTTCCATGGAGTTCCCCGTAGGGACCGAACAACGTCCAACCCAATAGAGTTCCCACAGCAAACGGTTCGTTCGTCTTCCCAGTTCTTACCTCTTTCATCTCGTGCACACTCGGTGCGTTACACCCAATCAACAGTTTGACATTTTTGTCTTCTACTCTCGGAAACCTTATGTCCTTTAAATGAGACCAAGATGCCATTTGATGCGCCGTTGGCACAGTCCTGTGAACCGCTGGCAGTTTTTTGACTGTCAACACCTTTTGCACTTTAACGGACGACGAAAAATCTATGGAGTGCAACTCTACATCGACCTCTTTGGATATTAACGACGATTCATTGCTAAGAGTCTTTAAAGACACCATTTTTGGTTTTCCCTCGAGACCTAACTCGTCAGCTAGATCATCAACAATGAGGGAAGTATCGGATCCGCTATCTAGAAAGGCGCAAGTCTGAATAATCTTCTCATCGTTCTTTATCCATACAGGCACCACTGCAAATGCTACTGGACTCTGTGTATGCTTAACATATACGTCCGTACAGAACTGGGTATTAATGCAAGCATCACTACTGCCGTCTCTCTGTTCTACCTGCTTCCTGTGTAACAGGGTATGGTGTCTCCAACCGCATCATTTAACATCGCACGACCTCGGTGATCGACAGTTTTTCGCTATATGGTTAGCCTTCAGACAAACATTACATAACTTGTGTCTAAGAACGAATTCTTTCCTTTCTGTAGCACTTTTGTCTTTAAACTTCTGACATTGATCTAAGGAATGATCACCTGAGCACTCTAAACAGGATGAACTACGTAAGTGGACATTGTCCTCATTGCTACTCATATAAGATATCCTTGCTGCATTGTAATCTGCATTACATCTCCCCTTTAGAACCCCGATATCCCTATTGTCACTATTACTACCACGGTTGACGAGTAACCCATATCGAGTATTAGCCATATCGGCTTGTTCCTTTACAAAGGCGGTAAGGTCGGCGAACAGAGGCTCACGACCTCCTCTGATAATCTTATAAGCCGTCTTTAGCCACTTTTGTTGAACATGCGTCGGTAATTTCAGAACCATAGCTTCAATAGTTCTGGTAGAGTTCAGGTCAGAAACGTAATTCATTTGTTCGAGAGTCAAACAGCATGCTTGCATTTCCCGGGACAATTTTCTTAAACCATCTGTTTGGTTCCTTCTTATATTGGGAAAATTTAACAAGTTGTCGATGAACGTGCGTGCTATCACGTGTTTTTGACCAAAGGTTTCTTCTAAAAGTTTTAGAGCTTGATGATAGCCTATCTCTGGTTCTAGTATAGCACAATGAAGAATGGCAGCTTTGGCTTCGCCGTCACAATATTGAATCAAGTAATTTAGTTTAGCTCTAAATCCAATATTCTCACTTCCGATACATTCCTCGAAATTTCTAATAAAATTCCAGTAATTTGTCGGTGTACCGTCGAATCTTAAGATTTCCCTTTTTGGTAAATACAGATTTTTTAATATTACATCCTCGCTATTGCTTACCAATCGACCGAAACCCTCACTCTTCTGGCGGCGTAACTTTTCTAGCTCAATTTCCTTTTCCAACTGAGTTATACGTAATCTAGCTAACTCTAATTCTATCATGCTATTAGTTTTGGGTTTGTCCTTTTCAAGTTGGTCCTCATCATAAACTCCCAGATGATGTGGTGATAACTCTGGAATCTCATCGGAATCGTAGTATTTATTAGATGTCATTTTTGTGTGTCGAGGATTACTGTTCGAAACTTTGTAGGAAGCAATTTCCTACAGGGGTAACTTTAAGCTATTCTCTAAACTGTCGAATACAGAGTCTTGGTTTCGCCAAAGTCAAAACAAGTAAGCTATTTGGCTTAATAAACTTTATCTGTTTCTAAAACTTAAATCAACAACGTTAGTACGCAAATAAAAATACAGTCTATTACATATGGAAAAGGAGAGACATAAATGACATACCGAACAGTAACTGGAGAATAAGAAAAATGAGTCAACAAAACGAATATTGTTTTAGAATGAACATAAATTGTGATTGGTGGATAAAACAAAGACATAGTAATACAAGATCAAAGAAGTTAGTGTGGTGGTGCGCGTTTCACTCATCATTGGTATGTTCGCTTATCGATCTCACTTTACACGGAGTACAGCAGCATCTCTCCTGTACCTAGCCTTTGATGTCCAGCTTGGGTCCAATAGGTTTCGCTGATTTCAAGTACTGCCAATTTATATTGCTATTCGACTGGTCTTCCCGGTCTCCAACAATGTCCGGATGTTCCATGTACCTATAAAAATTATTGCTCTTGTTGATAGGAGAGGCGTCGGCCTCGTGACTTCCGAAAAATCTAGGCTTTCATCATGAGGCGTCATAATTCTTTCAAGTACCAGGGCAGAGTTTAGATGGTTTGAATTATTTTTTCTGATTAGCGTCATTTTAGCAATTTATTTTTCTACGGAATGTGGTCGCTAAACCTAAGCCCAACCCTCCTCCTTTGTGTGGGCTTGGGACCGGCAGTAACTGTGGAAGAGCTACAGGCAGAGTTACACGTACTGTTATATCTTGTGGCCGAGTGGACGCCTAGTTAATGTGTAACGTGATAAGTAAGCCAATCAGAGAGCAGCGAATTATCAATTGGAACAGTGACATACGAAACCGTACGAGCAGTCTAGAGCGCTAACCGGTCCTGCTTCTGCCTAGCCCAACCAGTTAAGTCCAAAACACCAATAACAGGCTCTGTGGTATCCATCATTATTCACGAACATACTGGGTTTATATACCAACCAAACAGACCACATCGTACCATAAAATAGAAAATAACATTTGTACAATATTTAGCCAAATGTGGCTGTGAATAGGGGGGAAAGTAATCAATGAACTGATGACAACTCAAGAATCGTATAATAATAGTTCAAAGGTCAAAATAAATCTAATGATGAGAGGAACACGAATATGATTAGGTTAGTTACTTAACAATTATACAATAGGAAATATACATATTACATTGGTCCACGAATAGTCCTCAAAAGTTACCATTCACAATTCTCTTCGGGATACAACACGTACATCCTCAGATATTTTAACCGCTCAAACGCATGAAAACTCTGACCATCACACACTGAATGTTCTATTCGCTCATCTAGATAATACCACACATTCAATATATAGTGCTTATCCATATATTTATTCAGTATTAACACGTGACCGCTTGTTCTTGTTTGACACGTCATACAGTCTGCACAGTGTGGCTTTTTTCTGCAATCATTAGCATGGGGATTGAAAGGTAGCAAGTCGACTAACAGCTCAACTTCGGAACCTCTCTTTATATCTATTTATGCTATATCAAAAGAATTATTTTAACAAATGATTCACGTGGTCAAATATATTGACTCGAATGGGGTAAAAATAAATTAATTATGTACGACAATGACCTCATCATTGCAGATTCTTTTAGTGGGAAAACAACGTACTTATTTATCACTCATTATTACCACATCCATTTATTCCTTTAACATCAAAATCGTCTAATTGTCGGTCAATTCATAAACTTCTTATTCTTTCACTTTTACCCTAAAATTTTCCATTAGCCTTCCGATTATTACAAGGCCTCCTCTTAACGCTTGAATTTTCTTAGAAATTAACCTCGTAACTGCATCACATTTTCCAATAAAGTACTACGAATATTAAATAAATTTATGTGTACATCCTAGTAGATGAAATTGCCAAGAATTATATTTTCTTTATTTGCTTCTTATTGACACAAAACTTTTCAAACGTATTCAGCATAATAGATACCTCATGAATCCATGTGATCATATTTATCTCTTAGATTTCTATATACTGATTTTCTCATATTATCAAAACAGAGTCAGAATAAAAATAACTTCAACTGGTCGTCACAGCCCAGACTACACTCTGATGGACTAAGCACACATCATGCATATAAATGAATTGTAGTAGTTTAGGTTGATAGCAGGAGGTCCATTTCTATCGTGATATCACACCATAAACGTATGCTTGTATGTTGACTAGTGGAAATTGTTATTTATTCATTCCTAATGTTGAAAATATTTCCACTTAGTTTTTTAAAAATAAAGTAATGAATGATAGTAAAAATAGTACTATTCTCGATGAATTTGTAAATTCTAAGCGCAATAATCAATCAAATTCTTTAAATGCTGGATAACAGATTCCAGTAATTCTTACGTTAGCATGAAAATGAGAAAATGTGTACTTGAATGTGAAACTATGACTTTGAAAAAAGTACAAAACAACAAAACACTAAATTGAAGTTATTATGGTTTCCTAAATGGTTACTAAACAGAAAGTATAGCAAATTAAATATAAGGTTTTTAATATTGGAATCTGTAATGAATGCAGTCAACAAGGAATTAACTTATTCAAATTAGATAACCATGACTGTAACGAGCATATTAACTCACACGTATGAGACTGATGACAAGTTGAAACATGCTACGATAGATATAAAAGTTTATACAACTGAATTATACAAATCGATGGCAAGAAAAGCAATTTCTACTTTTCTTATTATTGAAAATCTCTGATGAAATTAATATTTAGATTATTATTAGATTATTGTTTACTGGACTTAATACAAAAGAATTTGAAACGGACTCACTTAATTAGTTGAGTGTCAATACCCCTTTCAGTATGATTCTTGTGAATGAGCGTTAAACTTCTTATCCAAAAATGATATTTGGGTCTAGTCACAATTAAATATGCGTTTAAGAACGACCACAGACATGAGATACATATAAATTTATTTCAAACGTTCACAACGAACAATCAAATAGAAAGCGAAGAGTTCAATATCTGAAGGAAGTATATAAAATAATCACGAATATTCCTGATACATACAAGCAAACTGAGGACGTACAAACATAAAAATTCCAAACATGAGTTCACTAGTGAACAACACGGCTACTATGGGTGCACTGTGCAAAGAGAGAAGCTGACACTGAGAACCATCTATCAAACTAATTTATCATAGACATGGCAGTTATTCATCGAACTATATATATATATATATATATATATACGCACAGCTATGTTAAAAACCTGATTTAAAAGAAATATTTCTTCATTATTTTAGAAATATCTCAATGGTTAATTATGTTAAAAATGAACGATAATGAAGCCGGGTGGACGAAAGGCAGCGACTATTTTGTTTTTGTTTACCCAAAGATGTCGTTTAGTGTAAGGATACTTTTAAAAACGAAATGTGTAATACGTTATAATTCTCATAGGGTTTCAGTGACCTACACAATGAAGCAGTCAAATAGTATTTACAACTTCAGAGAACCTATAAAGCAATTAGAAAATAACTCGTTGGTTTGAGAATATAGATTTACTGATAATAAAATATTTTTACATCATCTGTACATAACCTACAAAGAATGAATAATGGACAAGATCACTAATAATCGCAATAACAAACATTCTTAAAATCCCGAAATATAATACCGGATGAATTATTTTACTGGATACTGAAATAATAATAATAGTTTCACTGACAATTTGTTCAAAGTTGAAATAAATCACTCATATAATACAACCAACAATATAGAAGAATTAGATTACGTTTACAGTTATTGTTAATATGATTATTTGTTTATTGTGAAAGTGAATCCTTATAGAAAGATTACACTTACTACTTAACCCTAAGTATCCATTAAGTACTTATAACCCTCTTTATGAATTTTAATGTCTAAAACAGCAAACAAAACAAATAAGCAATTAACCTATCTGAAAAATCACACATTTAAAAAACAATAAAGAATAACGATTCTATTATACAGTGACACTAATAATATGTGCATTTTTTCAAACAATGTACAGTCCATAGAATGAAAATTTTAGCTTCAAGAAAGACAAAATAAAGCAAGTGCATATACGCTACAAAAGATGTGAATAATTAAAAGAAATTACACAAAAACAACAACAATAAGAACATCATCAGTAATATCAAGAAAAACTATTTATTGTATTTTTCTTCAAAGTTTACATAAACAAAAGAGAATTGGTAGAAATGCTCCAACCGATACTATAATAGGTAAAATTAAATAGGAATAGTCGATAGAAGCATAAGGATCTTTTGCTCTTGGTGTTCTAAATGGTCTCTGTTGCATTGATTCCGAATCTTCTTCTTCTTCTTCATCATCATCAGAATCAGATAATTTATGAGGATGTAACACCTGTTGATCAAATGTTTCTACTTTTTCTAACGGTGGTAATTGAGGGACATCTGAGTAATGGAAGTATAATTAAACTGATTTACGACATATTAAGTTTATACTGGGAATAGAGACTTGTAAACACTAGTTAGCTAAGAAATTACTTTATCCGGAAAACATATTGAAAATCACGTAACAAATCAACTGAAGTTAAAAAGAATAACCATACGATTCCTACACAATGATCCAAGTATCGTCTTAAGAGTATTCAAACTAAACTAGATCCCTAAATTCACCATCAAAGACCATCTTGTAATCGTGACTTCTTAACATCTCTATATAAATCATGAGATAATAAAGGACAAGCGAACAAATACACAACTCTATACTTATCACAAAGTGACGTATGTGCTGATAATTTCTTTTTAGATAAACTGTCTATAAAAAAAAACTATATTAGAGAACAGCCACACACTCATACAATAAATTAATAAACAGTCCGTATGCATACATCAAATCCTGTTAGCATTTGGACACAACTACAGTAGACATTAAAAGTAGTACCTTTGAAGTTGTTTTTACGGCTTAAAAGCTATTCAATGAAATCCCTAAACCCGTGAAATCCATTTATTCAACGAAGGTTAAAGAGACGAAAGTACATTTGTCCAAACTAACATCTAAGATGACATTTGAAAATCGATACCCTGAACAAAAATTGTCTTAAGCACTTAGTAATACGCTTCAGTCACAGTAGAGCATCACCGGTTTGTTTGTAAACATTCATTGGACAAAACTCTTTTTCAAGGGTTATGGTAATCCCCACTTTATTTAAGTACAGAAATGATTTAGCTGCGTGACCTAATTCCAAGTTCTTAAATAGTTACACAGTCTTTCTTAAAATTAATAATAATAAGACAACCAGTATTGATGTCAAAGGTAAATGTTTGGCGCATAAATAAGAAACATTATTTATTTCAACTGGTCCCGGTTGATTGGAGTAAAAATTGGTTTGTCTCTTTGAATCAACATCTGAAAACTCAAATTGATTTTATCAACCAAATGATCATATCAGGTTGAATCACTATTTTGAAAACATTTAACAGCATCAATACGTATTTAGGTGATATAATTTTATACAGCATAGGTATGACATTAACGTTACGAGTAGCCAGAATTAATTAGTACCGATTACAATTTTTGTGTTTGTTGATGACTTGTTTGAATTAGTAAATATATTAGGATGTATGTAGTATTTGGTTAATTCGAAGATCCTAAAAAAGTGATTTTTAGGCAAAACATAGCTTGTGCCTATTTGGTGCTGATGTTAGACCAGGAAGTAACCAAAGTGGTTATCATGAAGTCAAAATCCATAACATATATAGATACTGAAAGTTGTCGAATGTGGGAACGGGCTTAGCATAGATAATACTGAGAGATAATTAAGTAAAATAACTATTGATTCTAAACTGTCACAAAACAGTATACATAAAAAAACATTACCTTCTATTGAGCCTTTAGTCACAACAATAGCATTGATTTTCGGATTATCAAACTGAGTCTTAATGAAAAAAATAAGCGCAATAATATTATCAATTTCAGATTACTTTAATAAAGTCCACAGTAAAATGATCGTCATCGATAGTGACTGTATTTTCTCTAATATATATGACTCCATCTTTTATTTTAAGCGGCACATTTAAATCGAATGCAGTAGCAAAGCCAACTTGACCAAAAATATCCAAGTTTTGAACAAGTGGGAGTGAATTTTGAATATGAACATTGAATACCTGGGGTGATATCAAGTAACATGATAGAGATTCAGTAATAATTGATTTGTTAGTTATTCACTTAAACACATAAACATTGGTACAAGGAGGCACAAAATATATACACGCTGTAATGGGATACTTCCCGGGCAACCAAACTGAAACAGGTGGTTTTCTTAGGGGGCCACTCCCCGATCCTTTGACCTAGAGGTCTAATCCACAAGGAAGTGGAGCAACGTCAAGAGATGCAGTCTCATAGTAGTCAGTGACCAACAATAGGTTCATACGTCATTTGTTCGCTCAAGATCCTAGAGTACATGTGGGCTGTTGGTTGGGAATCACAGTTTTGCAACTCCGTATCCATCAACCCGATTAAACCACTGGATATTCGCTTTTCATCCTCTCAAATTCATAAACAACACCCCAGACGCGAAAAGGCAGTGTCTGTATGCGCGTGCCCATGTAAGAGCATTTTGAGAGAAAGCGAACTATCTCCACCCTCTGTGGAAATGACTGGTTAAATACTAGCAACACTTTGCTGGTATTAATTATGTTAAATAAATAGTTATGAAATATCCAGAAAGTGAGTTTATTTAGTTTTCAAATTCAAGCTAATGATTCAATATATACCAAAATTCTATCTCTGACCTCCGTAGTGCATGCAACGACCATTGTCTTTTCTTTATCAGCTACCTTATACTTTACTAAGTTATTGCACTACACATTTTACAAACGCTGTTTTGTAACACAAAGCTTAACTTGTTATTTTCATTACGACTCATATAATCATTTCTGTATTAACTTCTTTCTTATTATCAACTGGTAATGATTAGTACCGTTAGTGTAGTTTAATACTAACCTATGTAATTAATATACATCAGTACGTGAATTTTAATTATAAACTGATTTTAAATGAAAAATATAATGTCTTTGTACAAAAATATAAATGAACTAGGTTTAAATATTTAAGTACAGAAGTAATCGATAGGTAACACAATACAGTTGTTATTAACCATTGACTAGTTTATTTTTCGAAAAAAAGTGCTGTGTAGACATGATTTAAACTGTTGTGTATGTTTAAGAAAATTTTTTAAACTGACTTATCTAGATATTAGTAAGGTAGGAAAAACGCATGTCCGCATAAAAAGGAAGCAATAAGAGTATTGACGAGCAACACGTTTTACTTAGATATATACGCTGTTATTAGCTTGGATTGTTACTAAAAATGTAATCTTAGATAAAATTTCATGACAGATACCTCTGTAAATTGAAGTGAAAATTTCGACTGCATAGTTGAAAACTGTATGTTTGAAAAATTAAACTAGAACTCCATACTGCTTTACATACAGACCAGTATCACAAGTTTTCACTCATGAGAGCCATAACATACATACTGAAATTTCCACCACTTTGTGGGGTAGATAGGTCACCACTCCCTAAAAAAACGTACTTGCTACAATTGACTGTCCATAACTTCTGACTTGAATGGTAGTGTTCGAGTAAAGAGCCTTCACGCCTTTCAATGACAGACACTGACACAGAACCTCTCGGTCTACAGAGTCAAATGCTGCTTTTAGGTCAAGAAATACCACTATTGCCGGACCCCGATAAGCATGTCTGTGTTCTAAAACCTGACGAATAGTGAATATGTGGTCGATGCAGCCACGACCAGGTCTGAAACCAGCTTCATTTTCTCGTGCTTGTAGTTCACGAGTCTTAGTTAGGCACCCGATAATTACTGTGGGGAGTATTTTAGATGCTATATTAGTCAAACTAACTCCTCTATGGTTATCACAGGATGATTTTGACCTCTTTTTATATATTGTGACAATCAGTGATTTTTTATTTTTTATATTTAAACACATAAATGTTCGTTCAAAGAGGCACCAAATAAATATGCGCCTCACAAATCTCATTCGATTTGTGTGAGGGCTGTGATACTGCTCAGGTGCCCAGACTGAAGCAGGTGGTTTTCTTAGAAGACCTGAAGGTCTAATCCACAAGGCAGTGGAGCATCGTAAGGAGGTGCAGTCCCATGGTAGCCGGTGACCAACGATAGGTTCATACGCCATTCGTTCCACGAGGATCCTGGAGCCCATGTGCACCATTGGTTTGGAATTAGGGTTTTCCAACTCACCTAGCTGGACCCTCCATGTCCACCAACCCGGTTAAAGCGCCGGACATTCGCTCTTCGTCCTCTCAATTTCGTAAACAACAGTAATGCCACGAGAAGGCAGTGAGTAGAACTTCCCTGGCAGAGGCTATATATTCGCGTGACCATGTGAGAGCATTTCGAGAGGGAGAGGACTCTTCCCACTCTCGGCCGTACCAGGTCATTTGGGGGCAACACGAGTGATTGCGATCAGTCAGATGAGATTACATCCAGTTCCCAAATTTGAGCTCAAATATTAGTTAACTTAATCTATAAAACTGGACCACCATTCTTAAATACCTCTGGACCAGCTGCTCTTCCTTGTTTCAAATTAGCTATACGTTTTTGAACTTCAATTAAAGTCTGGGTATCTTTTTCGGCGATTGTATCACGTGCACTTGACTTCTTCATTCCAGTTACGTCTTTTAGTCAGAAAAGCTGTCTGGTGTTATCTACAGTCGCTGCCTTTTCTATTTCTTTTGCTTTCGCTTCCAACCACTGCTCACGGTCGTCACGTAGACTATCGGTTAATCTGAAACTGATCTTTTCACGCTCTTTATTGTGTTTAGAGCCTGAGTGTGTGACTTCGGTTGTTCATGAAATTTACCTTGAACTTTTTCGTCGCTGAGTTCAACTCTAATAGGTCTTTTTAATGTGGCTTTTCTGATTCTAATGAGGCGCAAGCAAATGAGTGAACGCCTTAAAGCATGATCAGAGTCTAAACATGTATTCTAGAACAATCATCAGTCCTCTATAAAAAGGCTATATCGAAGTAATCTGCACGAGATCCACACACGACAACAAAGACTGACCACAAATCTGTTTTTCAATATCAACAGCATCATAATTCAATCCCTTACTAACAATAATATCCGTGACTATCTTTGTTATTTATTTCATGCGAAATAAAAAACAAACCAAGCCAAATTCAATACACAAAATCATTTAACGGTGCTTAGCTGTGGCATTGACATGCAAACGAAAACTGTACAAGATTTTTGCAATAAAATAAACCGAAGAAACTTGCTTCACTGTCCAGTGAGAGAATACATATATCATTGAACTCACTTTTTGATAACGCTCAGTAAACCAAACCTCAGAAAATTTTAAAGTAAGAATGTACTCCCCATCAGATGTTATTGGAATAGGATAAGAAAAGTCTTCGTTATGATACCGTTCAGTTTGATAAATTATATGGTCTGCTGAGGGAACACGATTTATTGCAAACGAGCGGCCGTAGTCCGATGCAGTACCCATGTCTAAGAAATCAGCCTTATATTCGACTCCATGTGAATCAATGTGTTTAGGGCCACCACAATTAACGGCCCATACTACTTCCCCATGAACATAGTCAAGAAATAGGAGGTGAAAGAATATTACAAACATGGGCTTAGGAAGATCGATTCAATGTTTTAAATAAAATACTAAGTGTACACTCTGAAATAGAAAGCATGGGGTAAAATAAATATTAAGGAAGAAAACCATTTCAGAATTTTAAACGTAAGCATTGAATTGAAACGATGAGATTCGAATACGAATTTATTTTTTGACTAGTATTTTGTCCACTAAATATTTTGATCCTGTTTATATGATTACGGATTTGCAAAATTGGATGTGAATGTGCTGCCTTCGGTTTTTATAATTCGCAGCCGATGTTTATCTGGGTGATGTCAAACAATATGTTTCAAATTGTAGAACACATTTTTAGAACAATTCACTGCTGAAAACATTCACAATAAAATAGTTAGCAGATTTTTAAGTATTTCGCTGTAAAGATAACGTTAAGTAATATCAGTAATTTTAAAACTTTTGACTGGTGAATATCAAAACCTCGGTTTCGAGATACATTGTGTTAGAACCTTGGTGGATTCTATTTCAGTGCTTGCTGACTACGTGGCATTCACCTTTCATGTGATTTTATAATGATTATTTTTTATTCAGAACATTTAGCTCTTTGATGATCACGGGGTACTGCGGCAGAGCATTTATTTTGCAACTAATTTAGAAACATTAAGTAAGTAAATAAGACGACTGACTGACTGAGGTACCTGTGTGGGAAATTAGAATTTGCAGTTGATGGCTAAGATTAGGAGTTAGATTTAGGGTTTTCATCACCAACTTGCACCAGCTATAATGCTAAAACTCTATTTAGCCAAATGGATGAGTAAATTTCATACCGAAATCCGAGACCTGCTATCTTACATCTAGTTGGTTCGTCCATAAACTAGTCTTGCCGTAGTATGTTCTTATTGAAAAGAAATATAAGTATATGACTAGTAAATGAAAGAGTATGGTGTAAAATAAAGAAAACTGATTTGAAAATACAACTGGGATAAGTTCCGGATATTAAGGTTCAAGATACACATAAAAAATCCAATAGAAAAATTTCAGAAGACTTACTTCTGGTCTTTATTACGAACCATGCGATGAGGCTTCTAGTGAGCAAATAAAGTGTCATCGACCAATAGACCTCAGTCATACACCTATATTTTATACAACGACGCTTACTATTATGTGTTTTTGTTAGCTTTTCGAACGGATATCTGATTCAGTTAACTAGATTATAGTAACCAGGTAATATAAGCTTTCACTCAAACCTCGTAGCCCACAGACGAATATATGGTATTTGATTGGTTGACTACTATCGATGAAGCGCACAGTCAACGCTAGAACACTTCACACTGATGACAATCATCACCATACTGAACAAACGAAAATAAACAAGAATCTATATTCCATCAGTTGACAACCAAATGAACCACTTTAATGGTGAAGGTTCGCAGCGCAAAGATGTCAGAATAATGCATGGTATGCAAATCACCGTTCAACACATCACCAAGTTTTAAGCACTGTTTAAAGTTGAACGTGGATCTCAACATGTTATTACGTTAAAACGGTTGTAGAAGATCCAGAAATCTCATTAGATATCTAAAAGCACTGATAATCTACAATGTAGATAATCTCAGTGTTACTTAACGTATTATATTCATTCAAGGACAAAGTCTATTCACAAATCTTGATCAACTCAAACGCGATAAAAAAACACATACAGACTTGCTAAATACTGAATAAACTGAAGGTCAATAAGTCAACGTTGCTATATCTATTTGAATAAAAAAAAGATTACATCTTCGGTTAGAACTTACTCTACAGACGTAACGATTACTCGACCTTCAATTCAAACGGGAGATAACAACGTGTTTAAATATCCAAATGAGCGGTCCGATAAACAAATACATTTTCAGATTTGTATGGTAAGGATGGAAGGCATACAGCCTGTGTTTTACGTTCTCTAGTATACCTCTGTGAATGTATGGTTTCCTCTCGAATGAGCCAATTGAAGGTGCGGACACCACTGTTTCGAGTACGAGGTTCCAAGAACTGATGAACTTGTGTGGAAACCTGTATGTTACGGGTATTTTGTTCATTCTCGGCTTTTATACTTGCCCGCTATGCCCTCTGAGATGTCACGATCTAGTGGTCAGAAAAAGAGAGGATATATCGGTTCCAAAATCATTTATTAATATTCTTCACATCAAAATTCACCATTATCGACAGTGTATCCCATGAGAGTGGGACGTATGAATTAGTTTGCTGCCGCCTGAAATGCAGGGGACAAGAGTTACTACTTAGTTTGATCTATCGCAGTCCAAGCTGTGAGGCAAACGAGGTCCTGCTAAGCAGTCTCAACACTTTATCACGAAGTGATCGATGTCTAATCTTAGGGGACTTCAATGCACCCATGGTGGACTGGGGAAATCTGCGGACTGAATCGTCAGCAAACTCCTTCGAACAGGAACTAGTTGATGCGATAATCACTTGTGCTCTAGTGCAACACGTGAAGGAAGCAACTAGGTACGACCCGGGTTCTGCATCATCCTTACTAGATCTTATATTGACTCATTATGAGGATGATGTTGCAAACCTGGATTACATGCCACCCCTAGGCAAAAGTGATCATGCAGTTTTAAGCTTTGACTTCCATATAACTGTCGATCACGAGTACGCTTCAGCTCAATCCAGACCTAACGTCTGGAAAGCAAACATAGCAGACATCATGAAATCAGCATCATTAGTAGATTGGAAATTAGATCCAGAGTCATCAATCGAAACGGCTTGGGACGTATTCCGGAATTTATACTTAAAAGTTACCGCCCCCCACATCCCTTGGACTACACCTAAGAGACCGAGAAACTCCCCACCGTGGTTCAGTAGGGAGGTTCGCATCCTTCTCCGTAAAAGAAGGAAAATGTGGGACAGATTTAGGTTACTGGGGACTGATGAGGCGAAATCTCAGTATCAAAAGGCTCGAAATACCTGTGCCTCGACCCTCCGTAAGGCCAGAAAGCTGTACGAAGAGAAAATCGTAAGGGAATCCATAGAATGCCCTAAACGCTTGTATTCGTATATAAACCAAAGGACAAAAAGGAGAAGAAATGTTCCCTCATTATGGGGAGACAGTACTGCCACATCACTAGTGGAGGATGACTTTGGCAAAGCTCAAGTATTCTCTAAATACTTCAGCAATGTATACACCATAGAAACACCCTTCTCACCAGTCCATGAAAATCCACCCACACAAGCACTGGACAGCGAGACCATTAAAGAACTCGATGTCTTTGGTCTGCTAATTAAGCTTGACATAGGTAAATCCACTGGAGCCGATGAACTGCATCCTAGGTTACTAAAGGAATTAGCTAACTTTGTTGCGAACCCTTTAAGTGTATGTTTTAATCTATCCGTAACCCAGGGTCGTCTACCAAAAGACTGGAAGAACGCCATAGTAAGTCCAGTCTTCAAAACAGGTACAAAACATAAGCCCGAGAATTACCGACCAATTAGCCTAACTAGTGTGGTTGTTAAAATCTTAGAAAAGATTATTCGGAAGGAACTGTTAAAGTATCTCGATGAAAACCGGATCCTCTCCGAAAAGCAGAATGGTTTTAGAACAGGTTACTCTTGTCTCACAAACTTATTAGTCGCTCGTGAAAGCTGGTGCGCTCTTAAGGACCAAAAATTACCTATAGACGTAGCTTACATCGATTTCAGCAAAGCCTTCGACAAAGTTCCGCATAACCGGCTGTTATATAAGCTAAGGAATGTCGGGATTGGAGGCAATCTATTGATGTGGATAAAAGACTTCCTAGTTGGGCGTCAACAAAGAGTAAGAGTGAACTCCAAGTTGTCTAGCTGGGAAACTGTGCTTCGTGGAGTCCCCCAAGGTACAGTTTTGGGGCCAGTGTTATTCCTCCTGTACGTAAATGATCTCCCTCGTCTACTATCGTCATCGGTCTTACTCTATGCTGATGATGTCAAGATATGGAGAGCGATACAAAGCAAGAGCGATAGCTTAGAACTTCAAAATGACCTGGAGAGATTATCTGAATGGTCCCAAACCTGGCAATTGCCGATAAACACTTCCAAGTGTATTGTGATGCATATTGGCCATCAGGGTACAGATACATACACGATGAATAACACTGAGTTACCTATTGTTCAGGCACACAATGACTTAGGCGTCATCGTTAGTCAAGACTTAAAGACTACTGCACACTGCCGTGCAATAGCCGCCAAAGGTTTTAGGACTTTATGGTCCATACGCAGGGCTTTTAGGCATCTTGACGCTAAAACGTTTCTGACTTTGTATACAGTGTTCGTACGCCCTAAACTTGAGTACTGTATACAAGCAGCTAACCCCTGCCTAAAAAAAGACAGTGAACTCTTGGAAAGAGTTCAGAGAACAGCAACTAAGCTGATTCCCGGAATAGCGAAGCTCCCGTATGGTACTAGACTGACCAAGATAAACCTATTCCCGCTGTCTTATAGAAGAATCAGAGGTGACTTTATTATAGTTTTCAAATTGCTAAATGACAAATGTGCACCTGATATGCCCTCATTTTTCTTGTCTTCCAAAACAGAAAATCTACGAGGACACTCCAAAAAAGTTCACAAGCCCAGAACGAATTACTTGTCAGCTGCCCGCCGACTTTCCCATCGAATTATCAACGAGTGGAATTCATTACCTCAGCACGTGGTTGAGGCTCCATCCGTCGACTCCTTCAAAAAAAAGTTGGATCAGCTGAGAGACCATCATTGCCAGGACTAACATAGGCCACCAAGCCTCCTGTCCTTTCCAAACTGAAACTGAAACTGAAAATCAGATCAACTCTTAATCGGCTAGAGGACAGAATAAAGAGATCTGGTTTCACAAGCCGCTCTTTGTATAGTAAACCCAGAGTTCCCAAATTGCACGGGCAGCTGCCCTCTGTGCTTTTTCCAGGATATCCAAGTCAGGTAGGCTCGAGGTTGGGGCCTAGAAGTTAATTCCAGAAAGAGTGTGCTCACACACACCGTGCACAGTAATAGTGATCATTATATCATTGCTGGTACATCTCTTCCAAGCCTTCAAGAACATAAAAACTCTGGAATATTAATAAATCATGACTTAGAAACAACTACTCATTGCAACGCAGCTGCTGCAAAAGGTTATCGTGCGTTAAGATCAATTCGCCGACCACTTAAAGGCTTTGACGAGATGCTTCGACTTTTATATCCCACCTATGTAGGACTATGCTTGAAGTACTGTGTCCAAGCAGCTTACCCATATCTGATTAAGGATACTAACTCACTAGAGCGTGTCCAGCGCGCGAGAATAAAATCAGTGAGGGATCTTTTTAAACTCCCTTACGATTGGCGCTTAAAACACCTAAACCTTTTGCCCTTGTCATATCGTAGGACGCAAGGTGACCTTATATTGGATTTCGTATCTTTAATTAAGACTTGTGTGTTAGTATGTCCTATCCTTTTGCTCCCTCCAGCACTGATAATCTCCGAGGTCATACCAAGAAGGTTCACAAACCGCGATCTAATGAACTTAAAATGGGTTCCCGTTTTTCTCATCGAGTGGTCAATGGCTGGAACTCTTTACACGAACAAGTGGTATCAGCCCCATCAGTAAACATTTTCAAGGAAAAGATGGAACTTCACTAGAAAACAAACTGTCAGGATTAACACAGGTTCACCAACCTGTTATCCTTGTTACTGAAGACTGACTGGTGAGCTTTAAAACAGGGGCTTCGAACCCGAACGTGTTTGTTTCAAGGTAGTGTCCAAGATAATTTACAAGTAATCCTATTTCACTTCCTCATAAACGTCTTAAAGAACTACCCATATATCATATGAAGTGTACAAACTTCAAAGGTCGTGAAAAGCAGGTTATCATGAAATGAATCGTCTAAATAACTCTCAAATTCAAGAGGCAAGCTGCCAAATGTTATTTTTGTGATCAACCATATATTCAGATGTGTGATCACATAACTGTATTAATCAATACAGAGAACCCGAAAAAAGTGTCAGTTGAGTATAAAAATGCGTCAAAAGAATGCTAGAATTCCATATTTTATTTATGGTTGAAGATGCTACAAGTATTTGGAGTTTGACAACTAAACCAGTAACATCTTCTATAGTTGAATCGTCCACAACCAGTGAAATCAAAAGTCAGAAGAGTGGAGGTTCGGAGATATATTTTATAGACTATCAATATATCGAGAACTGACTGATCATAACTAGCTAGAGATTGTAGAAGAATTTGGGCACAGCTTACCCTTTTGTAATTTGGTTCTGGTGCAAAACCGAGAGCTCTCAGCCAAGTGAGTCTATTAAAACTAACACTTACTTACGCCTGTGACTCCTCGTGGATGAGCGTAGGCTGCACAACAGTTCTCTTCATCCAGAGCTGTCCTGGGCCATCCGTTCCAGTTCTTTCCAGTCGTTATTCATTCTTTTCATATCTGCTTCTATTTCCCGGAGTAATGTGTTCTTTGGCCTTCCTCTTTTCTGCTTCACTTCCGGATTCCATGTTAGGGATTGTCTCGTGATGCAGTTTGATGATTTCCTTAATGTATATCCGATCCACTTCCAACGTCTTCTCCTAATTTCCTCTTCAGCTAGAAGCTGGTTTGTCCTCTCTTTACATTTTTCCCGGCCGTCATAGGAAAGGAAAAAATGATATGTAAGTGTATATCGAATTTTACTCGCACGTGCGTAAGGACACAAAACGGGCAGATAGATCATATAAATGCTTTTCGTAAACATACAATAGCGTAAAAACGACTTTAACAGATTGATTTTTTGTCGTCTTGTTTGAAAAAACTCTTAATATACATTTATGATGTGTGTGCGAGAATTATTGATTGTTTTGTTGAGTAAGACATTAGATACGGTGGCAGATGTTATATGTCCCCTGTCATTATTACTATTATTGATTAACCGTTGTTGTTGTGCGATTGTGTTGGATTTTGGTGTGGAAATATATTGGTGTTA